ACCGAGTGTCTGTTTGATAATGTGAAAAGGTGCTGAATCTAAATCTTTTCAGAGATTTAGGAGTTTTGATTGTTTGATAAATAAAAACTTATCTGCTAAAATTATGAAGTGGTGTTGAACTTATATGTATTTTTTTGTAGCAAACAAATCCTGACTGAATGCTAAATTTTGATTCAAATCAATGGATTTACTTCAACTACTTTACCATATCTATCAAATCTACTTTTATTTGTTAACTAAGTTCAGAATCCTTCTCTAGTTAAACAATATGATACTTTCAGCCTAACGACTTTCTACTTCTTCCTTTTTTCCCCTCTGTTTATTGCCTTTTTTCCCTTCTTTAGTAAGGTAAGTGATGTTGCTTATTTTTTTGACAAAAAAAAGTGATATTGCTTATTTGTTGCTTTTTTTATGTTTCTTTTTTTAATACATTATTCTATATAGGTCTATCTATATGCAACGTAGGTATGAGACCACAGAATTCCAGCAGGGCTAATTAGAAATATTTGGAAGTATTCAGATGATTCATAGAATTACATTTGATTGAAACACATCCTAATAATTATAGTGGAAGCAGTTTAAAAATAGAATGTTGGAAATGAATTAGATCAACTTTGAAAGATGAAAACAAGGGTGACTTTACACAAAGAAAATTGAAGAATGAAAGGGATTATGTGAAACAAAAATACATAATTTGGGCAAAACTCATTGGTAATACAATATAGGAAATATTATAAACAACCATTTCTAACTTTCTTACGTGGAATTTAGATTTTTTTTTTTTTTTTGGCAAAAACCCCGTTTACGGGGAGAGGAGTGCCAGCCCCTTAGTTATCTCATAACTGAGAAACAAAAGTTAAAATTACAGACCCGTGCAAAGCCGAACATGCGAGAACCCCCTGCTATCTAGAAGTAGGGATGTTCTAACAGACACAGGAAGATGCAGGTAGGAGGGAAAGAAAGAGTCTTGCGGCAGCCGCAGAAAATGTTTCTTTTAATGTTTTCCATAATACATTTCATCTTTTATATTTATTTGATTTAAAAATAATTATTGTCTTTTTCATACCTAACAACTTCAAGCTAATGAAATCAAAAGTTCTTTTTTGTTTTGTTATAAATAGACAATAGGGAAAAAATTGTACGATTGATCTATATAGAGATTTCTTCTGTGTCAGAAGAAATTAATTTCTAAATGATGTTTTATATAAGTGATCCTTTAACTTAGGATTATCATGGTACCTTGAGTATGGATAGTTATATCCTGTGTTATTTATTTGCTTCTGTAAAATAGAATACTCAAAATATTAACATATAGGTATACAATTGAAGTACGAAAGGGTAGTAAATAATCCTTAAAGATTTACCACCTTTTATGAAAGAGGAGTTATTGAATTAATGGCCATTTGTAGAAATATAACTCAAGAAATCTTAGTACAAAGTGAATGAATATTAGAAAGGCATTTCTAAATACTTGTTCTTTTGGGAGTTATATTTTTTATACGAGAAAAGAACATTAATCACATAATGGAATTGGCACGACTCATTTTGTGATTAATGTGAGATAAATGTGGTAAAAAGATATTAATTACACGGTAAACGTTCATTAAAAGGTGAAGTTATCCACTTGGCTTTTCTCATTACTTGGGTGGTCATGATACATTGGTAGATGCCAATTTTGATCTATAAGAATGAGTTGATTGATTAGTTAAATCACTATAAATTAAAAGAGTTAAGTATTTAAAAATGGTTGAGTATATATTTGGATGAACTTGAGAAATGATATCTCATTTGGTCTTAAAGGAAATGTTGACTATGTAAGGAAATGTATTTGATATTTGATAGAACTTACATTAGTTTAGCTTTGAGTTTTGTGCCTTGTGGATTACCTACAGGGTATGATGGTGTTATGTCCTGGGTATGGGGTTTGACAATAAATCCGTGTTTCATGCATTCCAAAAAAGAAAAAACACTGGTTGAGATCCTATTTGGAGTGTGAAGTAACAAAATATGGTTCTCAAAAATAGGAGAACATCTTTTGTTTAACAATACGTAAACTGCTATCTTTTAGCCAATCGCTAATTCATTTGTGTTAAGTTAGTCACCAACGCATTATTTGTACAAACTATTTGGAGTTCATATTATATGAACACTTTTTTTAAGTCTATAGTCCTTGATATCTTGGAGTTGTAAGAAGGGTACGTCTAAACCATGAGCTTGAATTAAGCTAGAAAAGGGATGCAGAAACTTAAAAAAAAAATACAAACTATGCTTATTCAGGAAAACATTATCAAAAGGAGATTTAGCCACTCATTCACTTGATCTTTAATTCAGTATAAGCTTGAGTTATGAATGGGTTTTAAGTTTGATTCTCGTACTGAAATCTGATGCTATGATCCAGGAACATAAAAGCATCGCTATAATTTTGTAAGGGGTGTTCTGTGAAATGGTTTTAGACATTGTGATGACATAAATGCATCCTACAAGGAAGCTAGGGCAAAAAGGGCATCGTTGGACTTCAGTAATATGTGGTAAATTGTTGAGAGCTAGGTTATCAACTTTTGGTCCACAAAAGAAAAGGCAGAAGTAAACCATAGACAGTGACAGGGAAGACCATGTAAAGGGCTTGTTTCTTTGCACTAGCATGATTGCAAATATGAGTGGCGTGGAAGTAAAGTGAAGAGATAAGTCTTTTGCTTTTGACCAGCATTGGGTAGCGTTCCAATATCAAAATCTAATGACTTCACCCACTTTTGCCACTTTGGCTTTCTTGTTTGATACTTGGATTTTAAATACCAAAATGTTACCCCGACGCCTTTGCAAAAGTAACAATTGTTTTACAAATTGGACGATTCTACAGAAAAGCGTAGAAAATGTTGGGGCAGTTTATTTGATTTCTAGTGTAAACAATCAGCTATGGTATATTTTAAAAATTAGTTTTTAATGCAAAAATCATATATTCGAACTCTTCCATTTTCACACTAATAAAAACTGTGTTTAGCTTCAAAAGTCTTTGAATCCTTTTTAAATGTTAAACTGCCCTTTAATCTTCATTTGGGTATGCAATCTCTTAATAGTAGGGGATAATCGAAAAGACTTCCAAGCATTTGGGGCAGGGCAATCACAAAAACGAGATCAGTATGTGATTTGGGTGTTGCTCCCATGGGACATAACAAAAATATTAAAATCTTTTTAGCCTATTACATGAAATTTCAAATGTTGATGCCCCGTCATAATGAATCTGGCTTTGTCGGTGTGTCTATAAGCAATGGATTTGTTTGGATAGCCAATTATCTCAAATAATATTTCGCTTGTATCATAAATATATTTTTCAACTCACTTTTTTATATTTTCAATTACCTTTTTATCTCACATACATCACATCACAAAAAATTTTACAGTAATTATTTCAAATAATATTCTATCCAAACAAACCAAATCATTCCAATAATAATAATAATAATAATAATAATAATAATAATAATAATAATAATAATAAAGTAGAAGCAAAAACTTAAAGTAGTTGCACAAATTTATTGGGTTAATTACGTCGAAACCCCAGAATTTACCGAATTTCCACTTGAGTCCTTAACGTTATTTTGTGTCATTTAAATCCTTGGATTAACAATCAACCATACTGATTCCGTTAATTTTGCCAAAAAGACAAATTTAGCATAAAAGGATGTATACGTGTGTTTGTTTCCCTGTAATTCTTAATGTTAGTTTCTGTCATATGACCTCACAGATTTACTTTCAAAAGTAGCAAGGCTACCATTGTTAATATAGTTAATTGGTATGTTAAGATTAAGTGCTATCATCAATTATGTGGCAAATTTTATGATGTTACTGAACTGCAAAGGGATTTTATGCATGCAAGCATTCTAACCACTGACACTGCATACCATATATTTCGCCAATAATGCGGAATATTAATGAGGTAGATGATGGAAAAAGTGACTTGAAGATATTGAGATGGGAATCTTCTAATATTGTTCTTTTTCCCCTATAAAAGTGACTTGGATAAACATGCAATCAGCAGCACTTCCCTTTTTTTTTTTTTTTTTTTTGGGAGGATTCTCAGATGTCCCTACCTGCTTGTGGATTTATTCTAATCAAAAACTGCTTTCTTTTGACTGGAATAATTGCTTTTTTTTTTTCTTTTAAGAAAGTTAAGGAGAAAACTGGAAGGGAAAAATGAACTATGTGAATGGAACCTCTCGTCTGAGATCAGTTAAACTGACTGAGATGAGAGTTTTGCAACTGCACTTAATAGCCAAGAGCTTCTCCTCCTTTGCTGGTTGTTACTCTTTTATCTTGAAAAGCTAAGCTCACGTAAACTAGATGGCAGACGCTGTTGTCTCTCTTGTTGTCGAGAGAGTTGGCGATCTGCTGATTAAAAATTTGTCTTTCTGAAAGGTGTTCACGGACAAGTTGAAAGACTCCGAAATGATCTGGTCCGAATGCGGTGTTCCCTAAAAGATGCAGACCAAAGGCAAGATGAGAATGAGAGGGTTCACAACAGGGTTTCTGAAATCAGAGCTGCGGCCTTTATGATGCGGAGGATGTCATTGAGATCTTTGCCAGTAAAATTGAGTGCATAAACGATAAAGGGATTTGTTACCAAATTGGCATATTGCCCATGAAAAGTATGGTATCAGAAATCTTGGGAGAGGGGATGAGTACACATGGAGAAGAGCATCAACGGCTCGGGCGATCCTCTCCAATTAGTGAGGAAAAGGATATTGTGGGCTTCGAGAAGGTCAAAAAATCCCTGGTGGCAGAACTTTTGAAAGAAGACAAAAACCGCCGTGTGGTTTCAATCATTGGCGTGGGAGGTGTTGGCAAGACAACTCTAGCCACAAAAGTTTGCTGATGTGAGGACAAGTTTTGAGTGTCGAGCTTGCCTCTGTGTCTCTTCAAGATACAATCACAAAAAGATGTTGAGATCAATCATAAAGCAATTGAATCCAATGAGTAACGCGCAACTAGAAATTTTGGAAAAGATGGAAGAGCAAGACTTGAAACAAAGGCTCTATCAAGATCTACAAGAAAAATGTTATCTTGTGGTACTTGATGATGTATGGAAGAAGGAAGCGTGGGATTGTCTTGCTTGGGCCCTTCCTGATGTTAGTAGATCAAGTAGATTGTTACTTACAAGCCGCAATACGAATATTCCTCTCCATGTGGATGGTCTTAGCATCCCATATGAGCTGAAAGCTTTGGGCAAGGAAGATAGCTGGAAATTGTTTCTCAAAAAGGCCTTCAGTAATGGGGCTAATTCTGGGTGTCCTTTGGATTTGGAAAATGTAGGCAGAGAGATTGCAAGGTGGTGTGCTGGTCTGCCACTGGCCATAACGGTTTTAGGTGGCCTGCTATTGAGCAAGAAAAAGATGAAGAGCGAATGGGAGAAAGTACTCAACAACATTAGCACATACTTATCGAGGGGCCAGAATGGAGGAGTATCAACAATTTTGGAATAAAGTTATGCCGACCTTTCTCCCAATCTGAAATTTTTCTTTTTGTATTTGGGCTTGTTTCCAGAACATACTGAGATTTCTATGCGCAAATTGATCCACATGTGGATTGCCGAGGGAATGTTTCAAAAAAGAGATGCAGAAAATCTGGACGAAACTGCATCATATGGTGTGGAACAACTTTTTAACAGAAATATGGTTCAGGTGGCACTAATGACCACTGATGAGAGGATAAAAAGCTGTTGGATCCATGATTTATTATGACACTTGGCAATCAGAAAGGCAAAGGATGTTTTGACAAAAAAAAAAAAAAATTGGCAAAGGATGAAATTTTTTTTCAAATCCATGACATAAGAGATGATGAAATTCCAGCTAAATCCAGGTACCTTGCTGTTCATATTCTGCCTCAGGATCACATATATTTTGTGAATTCCACACCTCATCTCTGGTCTCTTCTGTATTTTAATGTTTGTAGATATGAAAGAAGTGTTAGTCTTAGCTTTATATGTTTCAGAAAGCTTAGGGTACTAGACCTAGAGAATCTGTGCATTGAATGCCTGCCACAAGGAATTGGTAAAGTCAGGCTATTGAGGTACCTCAGTCTTAGAGACTCAGTCATAAAATAGCTCCCTCATTCCCTAGGTTGCTTGCGAAACCTACAAACTCTTGACATATTCAACTATTTGCAAGTGGAAGTTTTAAATTTCATTTGGAAGCTTGAAAGTTTATGGCATCTATATGCGTCTGATATAAGATTTGATAAGTCACTTAAGATTGAAGGATTGATGAATCTTCAGACTTTGTCAGGCATGCATACACTTTGATCACATTATGCATAATAACATGACAACTTTGACAAGTCTGGGGATTTTAGTAGATGTCATCTCAGAGATAGATAAGCTATGCATGCATTTATGCGAGGTTGGAACCCTAAAGACTTTACATCTTTATGGTGTTGAAGAACGCAAGTCACCATCTCTAGTTGGATTATCTAAGCTCCATCATGTAACAGAGCTTAAGCTATTCGGCAAGTTGAGAATGCTGCCTCCTAAATTTCCTCCAAATCTCTCTCAGTTGTCTTTGAGATCCATAGATCTCATGGATGACCCAATGCCAATACTAGAAAAGTTAGTGTTAGGGATAATACAAGAAAAAATGGCTAAAAGTTATAAAGTAAATAATGCAAAAAAACTTCATATGGTGACTCGAGATCACTCTTCTTTAGATTTTATTTGTCCAAAATTTAGTATGTAAAGGCCTTGAACAAATATCCTTTAGAATAATTTGAAGAGTGTTTGCCTTTGATTCTTGCACAAAGTTAGACAAACTTACTTGAACCATGTTGTGCTTTTGCAGAGAATTCTAATTGTAGGAAAATGATCTTCGGTAGTAATTATTCCTACTAGACCTTTATAGAGTTGAAATTGAGAATGATAAAGAGTTGTAAGCTTGCTCCGCTGTGACTTTCCATCAACCGTGTTGGTCAAAAAGTTCCTCAACACCAATGCAAGTGTTCAGATAATTTTTGGATGTTTAGACCTCATTTGAATGGTAGTTGACCGTCAAACATATGAAAATGTACCAAATAATAAACTTGAACATCTTTTAATCATCGCAAAAACCAAACAATGATGGGTCTTATGTTGCCATGTTGGATTCAAAGTCGGGCGCCTTCTCATGCTAGATTCAAAGTCAGGCGCCTTCTCATGCTAGATTCAAAGTCAGGCGCCTAACATCACAAACTAGATTGAATTATAAGATCCAGAATATGTTGGGCTCTACGTCGGGTCCTAAGACTGACCCCCAACATACAAATGACCAAATTTTGAAAATTATCTAACAATTGGGACAGCTGTCGTTCCTCAAGATGAAATTTGCATATGAGGGACAACAACTAGTCATTTCCGGGAACGGCTTTCACCGATTGAAACTCCTTGAGCTCAGAGACCTACATCAATTGGCTAAAATAAAGGTGGAGAAAGCTGCATTTCCACCTTGATAATCAGGAGCTGCAAATCTAGTGCCGATAATCAGGAGCTGCAAATCATTAGGCATGCTGCCGGAAGAGCTGATGCACATAGCTACTCTTGATAAGCTTGAGCTTGTGAACATGCAAAGAGATTTTGCCAGCAGGCTTGATGGCCAAACTCCTGACAAGATAGCTAGCGACCCCTACCTCAGAATATTTGACCATACAACCATCCATGATTGATTTGGCATGCTAGCACTTCTCAGGATCACAGCTTGGTAGCTTCATAACGACGTGGAGAAGGTTATTCTATTCAATAACAGCTATTGTATCTTACAAAGCCCATATTAATTCCTCGAAGAGCTGCAGAACATTAACAACCAAAAAATAACTTAGATGTCACACGCAAAGGTGTTCTTGTTCCTGGTGAATGACAATAACTAAATCGCATGTCCTCTGCTTTTTAATGCAATTCTCAGACACATTTTATCATCTTCAAATTCACAAGTTTTATAGCAGTGGAGTATAAGATACTCCTGTAGAGATCCTCTAGTATAGGCCCTCTGTGAAAACCATACACGTGAAGAGTTCATAATTGTGAAATGCAGAGATTTTTGAAGAGAAAATTGACTAACAGCAACATATTAACAATTCTGGGACATCAATTCCAGCAAATGCCAAAAGAATAGTCTCAAGGTGAAAGTTAAGAATGGCCAGATATCCACCTGAGCCCTTTGATTTGGTACCAATTGAAACAATTACCCTAAACTAGCCCTCGTCATCTCATATGCCAAGAAGCAAGCAGCATTTGCAGGAACACTTCGCGCCATGGCAGGTCCAAAACCCTTATACAGGCCTTTGACCCCCTCTGATGCCAAGATCTTTCTAATAGCATCAAAGCTTCCAGAGTACTTGGGGTTTTTGTACTCATCAACCTGAATTACGCTCTTCACAACATCAGTTGGATAGACAGATAGCCAAAAGGAACCCCCAGCTAAGCCTCCTGCCAACATTAAAGAACCTCGCCCTAAAATAGAAGTGTCTTGACCTCCTGCAAGGACCTGCTTAATTGCTTCATAAACACCAAACATCACAGCATTTCCTGGTACTTCACGTGCCAAGGTGGGAACTAAACCCTTGAACAAACCCGTCACACCTGCGGACTGCACTACATGTCTGGCAACATCAATTGGCCCTCCATACTTGATTGCCACAGCAGCCGAGCCAGAACCTGCTAATGCACTCTGAGCTTGCAACCTGCATGAATGGAGTTACTCCAATCAAAAGATAGGTAGATCCTAACAGCCCTTTTTCTTTTTCTTTTTCTTTTTTGGTTTTTTTTTGGGGGGTTTTTTGTTGTTGTTTGGGGGGCGGGGGGACTATTTTTGAAACAGAATATTTGCAAGTATCCTTCCTAAAATTAGTTATTTTCTGCACTAGTTGTGCAAAAGATTATTTAAAAGCATTTCTAGACACTTAGCATCAGCACATGTTATAGTTATTAGCTTTTGTTGTGCATAGGATGGACATTTATAATGGCTTGTGCAAAGAATTTCTGCACTGCCGCATATCTCAGATTTTACATTTACAAATGATAGGATGGTTGCAGGAAGTAAAATGTTTGAAAGTAATTAATATAGTTTCCACCACCGTACAAGGCCCTTCACTTTTTGTTTATCTCTCTGCTTAATGTTTTCAACAACCAGCAAAGATCAGCAAAGTTATGAGCCCAGACCCCACCCACAAATTAAAAAAATTCTCCTGCAAACACTGGGAAAAACAACCGGAGATAGAAACAGAAAACAGAAAATAGCAGAAAATAAATTGTTGCTATAGAAACTCCACATTCAAATCAAAAAGCAATTTAAATGTTACTTGACAGAACGAGTTGAAGCTTATGCTTTAAAGACATTGCTTTGGAACTATACAACTAATGATTCAGAATAAGAGGCTAACCTGCATTTTATCAATTCAGTAGGGCAGGCAAGGAATGACACAGCAACTCCAGCTCCTGCCCCACAAACAACTTGCTGGTTCACAGAAAGTGGTGCACCTGGTTCAGATCTTACCAGAGCCTCCATTTGACCCCTTACTGTGAAGAGCACTGCATTGAAGGCTGCAACAGTGGCGAGGGGAGCTCCCATACCTTTGTATAAACCTCTTGGGCCTTCAGCTGCCAATGTTTGTCTGACAGCATCCATGGCACCTGAGTACCTGAGAGGCTGGCCAGGAAGTGGAGGTGGCTGGCTCTGAAGCTTCACCTTGATAGTGTCAAATGGGTGCCCAACTATCAACTGTGCAGCCCCTCCAACAGTTCCAGCAGTCAAGTCCTTGGCTACATCACCCATCTACATTTAATCAAATAGAAAACAAAAAGGTTATATTCTAGGATAATGTTTTTATACATTGTCATTGAAAAGATTTTTTACACAAGCAGGTTTAGATCGCCACATAACATGAATTCAAATTTGAAATTCAAATCATGCGCATGTGACATGAATCCAAGGTTGCTAGTGAAAAAATCACTACATTATCAATGTATAAAAAGTTAATCCTATATTCTAAGGCAGGTTGCTCATCTGGGAGTGTGACATGCTTGATTGAATTTATATCTGGTCAAATTGAGGAGAAGATTGCACAAGATGAATATTGGAGGATCATATTCTCCAAATAATATGAATAACATCATCTTTTCATGACAAATTTCTAAAAAGAATCATTCTACTCGCTTTTAAGCCTCCATTAATTATTAAAAAATAAGATATAGCAGATATTTCCATCTACTTTCACAGTTTTGTGAAAAAACAGTTTCCGCTTGGAAGCCCATTCATTTGCATGATCAGATGTACATCTGGGTAAAACTTTATCAAGAACTGATGCCATATTGAACAAAGGCTTATGTCTACAGTGTTATGAAACAATCAAAGTTAATGCAAAAAAATCATAAATGTCGTACAAATAGTGTTCCTCATCATTACAGTATGATAACTGCAAGCAACTACTGCAATCCTGAAAAAGTACAAGTTCTTTGGCACCT